CTTCATGTGTAGAGAAGTAACAGTGCAAGACGGGTGCGAGAAAAACAAAGATAATTCTAGTTTTAATGAAAACTCTTCAAAAACTAACATTTTATCTTCTATTGCTTCAAAAGCTTGTGATAACGCTGCTAACAATTTTAAGCCACATAAAGTTGTGAAACAATTTGTTAAATCTGCTTGTACTTGTGGAAATTCAGTTGGACATGGACCAAGTTATGAACGTATTCCTTTTAAAAGACAAACCTGCTTTAACTGTGGAATTTCTGGTCACATTGCTAGAAATTGTCCAAATCGTGCATATATTCCCTATTATGCCCAAGGTAGGCAGAACGTATCTCGAGGAAGATCTTTCAAGAGAAACTCGTCGAGATCACGTGATGGTGACTGGAATATTGCCAAGACCAAAAATCAGACTCTCAAGAACAAAAAGGTCATGTTTGACAAGAGATCTTATTTGAGAAATAGTTCAGTCAAACTAAGATCGGTAAGGTCGAAGTCATCTCAGCGATCAGTCTCAAGCTCCAAAACAAATGTTGAAGCATCCATCCGATTAAACAATAAAATGGTTAAACCTAACTACAGATGGGTACCAAAAGTTCTCACTCCCAAATAACCTAAAAATTCTAACATCTCTTCATTTTCTATTTTTTTTATAAACAGGATATGACTTGGGAACACGTATCACGCGTAGATGGAAAAGGTCAACCCAGTTTCAAAATGGACTGGGTTCCCAAAACCAATTAATCTCGCACTCTGTGCCGGAGCAGCTATGGAGGAATATCATCAAACTTTTGGTATGTTGACAGTGGCTGTTCCAGGCACATGATAGGAGACATCTCTCATATGCATGACATTTAGAATATTAATGGAGAGCATGTGTCCTTTGCTGGAAAGGAAAAGGAAAGATCACAAACGGGGATTACATCAATTGCTGAATTACGGTTTGAATTTTCTGACTCTTCTATTCTCTGTGTTAATAATGTTGATTTTCAATCGTCCAAAAACCTTTTTTTTTCTAAAACCAAGCTCGTGCTTGTAGGATTTCTTAAGATGATACGTTTCGAAGATTGAAATTTCTTTTTATTTTTATTTAGTATTTCTTATTTTCTTTCATTTTGTTTTATTTTTAGAAAAAGAAATTTGTGACAATCTTTTGGGAAGTGATATGAGTTAGTGATAAAGGGCAAACGAAATACGTGTAATGCACTAAAGCTGAATTGTCTAAACTCTGTGTTCAATGTGTTGGTAGGCACAAAGGACTAGGACTAATGGACTAGACAATGTGGACTCATTTGGACTTTGAAAACCTCATTTGGACTGACAATACGACGCTTGGATAGATTTAACAGTAAAATAGACAAGGAGGCCTATGACATAAATTGAAGCTAACTATCATCTAGATCTGTGGCTCAACACTTCATCGGCGTATGGACTTGTTTTCTTAATTCTTGTATTGACAGGGGGTGACTAAGGGGTTCTGATAAATCGGGTTTGTTTAAAATCGTTATTCTTTCTTTCTTAGTCAGCCATATGTTGTCCCCTCTGCGTGATCGGAAGATCCGACCTGGGACACAACATATGCACTCAGATGATGTTCACTGCTTTTATGTTAGTATATTGTCTCCTACATATATTCTACTCTCTATGTTAGTCATATGTTGTCCCCTCTACGTGATCGGTAGATCCGACTTGGGACACAACATATGCATTCCACAATGATTATTTACTCACCTAAAGTAAAGGATTTTGAAGAAATTTCCTTGATTACCGGGGTATGTCATGAAGTGGGGAACATGTTCCAGTCAAGGTTGTAAAAAACGCTCGACGTTGGCTAGTCGGAGGACTGTGGTCAAGGGATTAATCGGCTAGGCGGAGATTTATCAGGAGATTAATCGGGGACCATTAATTGCTAATTTGTTGAATTTTAAAAAATTAAATATGACTAATATCATATCAAAGTTCATAAATACCATTAATATGATACTAAAATAGGTTAATATGATTAATACAACACTAATCATGCCTCAAATAGTTTCCATTGAAATAAAACTTCTTCAAAATGTTAAAACTTCATCGTGTTATAATGTTTGACTAATTATGTATGCAGGTATTAATCACTAGGCGCCCTCTAATCGGTCGAGTAGCGCCTAGGGATTAATCGGGACCAAGTCGGGATTTTTACAACAGTGGTTCCAGTGTACTAACATTAACTGCACCCATAACTAAAGGATGATTGGTAAATTTTACTGGCTAAATTTAAGTGGACAACAATATCCCTGGTCGTCGTCAGACAAAATGGTCTATCTAGGAATATAGTAGCTATATATCGTCACTCATGATCTGTTCTGAAAAATGTCCTTTGTGCTTAAGTGGATCACAATATCAATGATTGACCAGAGCTTTTCATGAATGTGTGTGCTGATAAACCTCATTAATTTGCTTTATAACCTTTGATCCCAAAAGTTTTTGTTTTATTAGAATCGGTTTATTACATTTTTGTTTTTATTTAAATTTGTACATATTTTCATTATTATGCACAAATTTAGGGGGAGAAATTATTCAAAAAAAATGTTTAGTTTTATTTTTATTTTCGTATTTGATTTTTGAAACGTAAAATCGAAAGAAATCATTTTATTAAAAACGAGTATTTTTCCTTGGGCCGAAATCATTTAGGTGGGCCATCTGGGCCGATTTTTCGGTCATATATATATATATATATATATATATATATATATATATATATATATATATATATATATATATATATATATATATATATTGTTTTCGGCTGGTTAGAGTTTCTCACCGAAAAACCCCCAAACAGCCGTCGTTGTTTTCTCTCCCAATATCTTCAAGATTTTATGCTAAAATCTACCCATTCGTTGTTTCCGTTGCAAATTTTTCGGTAAATCAGATAAATGTCAGAGCAACTTAAATTCATAAACTCTCACAACATTGTTGGATATCTCATGGATCCTCCTGCTGCTCATCAAGAATTCAAATCCATGATGGTGGGTTTGAACAACTGCAGGATCTCTCAAGCCCTTCGTGCAAATCCAGTCATTCATACAGATCTAATCACTGATTTCTGGAAAAATGCTTCGATCAACAAGCTAGGAGCAAATGGAGCTGGTACAGTGGAATCTATGGTGAAAGGAACACAAGTGATTATCTCTGAACAAATTATCTGAGAGGTACTCGAATTTGGTGACGCATCCACATTCCCAATTGAGTACTCTGCTGATCGTGTCAAGGAAGTTCTGGAGAAAATGTGCTATGAAGGAAACTATCCTCCCACTATCAAGAAGCTACTGCCAGCCTACTGGAGGTTCCTGGCACACTCCTTCGTGAGTTACATTTCCGGAAGAAAGGGAGGCTCTGACAAAATCAGTCAGACTGTGACCTCAACCATTGTTGCTCTAGCTATGGACTGGGATTACAACTTCTCAAAGTTCGTCTTCGAAGAAATGAATAGCAACCTCCTAGGAAAGAAAAAGGACCTATTTTTGATGTACCCAGGTCCCTTCAAATGATTTTTAATGAAAATATCCCCAAATCGAAAGGACGCCCGATACATTGGATATGAAAGCTTTAGGTCCCAACACTTTTGGACTCATGAAGCAATCGAGAAAGTATGCCAAAGTTGCTTATCAAGGATTAAAGGAGTTAGTTAAATTTGGAAAGTTTGTTGAGATTGAAGACACTCCTACTGTTGGTTCAATAAATGTTGAGGTTGCCGACGAACACGTGGCGCCCAAACCAAAGTTTCAATTTGCCATTGAGGAGATTGAATAATCTGATATTGAAGAAGATCAAAAGGAAAAAAGAAAATGAATTGACAGAAAAAGAGTTTGAAGACTTTATTCAGCAAAGTATCTCAAACCCAAAGAAGGATGCAACTGTCACACCACCGGTTGTGACTGAAAGGGAAAGTGACACAACGGTGCAATCTTCCATATCGACACCTGAACAAATGGATGCTCTCATAGCAGAATTTCAGCAAACTGTAAGGAAGCCTCCCCAAATAGTTCATGTCGCTACTGAACCTCCATCTGAAAGTGATCCAAAAGACTCAGCTTACGCTTTACTCCCAAGGAAGTGAAAAAGAAGAGATCCAAGGCCGGGATTGTTTATCACGGACCCAGTTCAAAAGAAATCTACACTGACTGAGCCTGGTTCTATGGCTCAAAATAGGGATGGCAAAAAACCCCATACCCGATGGGGAACCCGAAACCAGCACCCGTTTTGACTAGGGAATCCCCAAGTTGACCGGGGATGGGGGACGGGGATGGGGAATCCCCGAATAAAAAAGTGGGGATGGGGATGGGGATGGGGATACCCCTAATCCCCGACCCTGGACCCGCCCCCGATATATATTAATATATATAAATAATACAAAACATATATTTATGATACAATTTACAATACATAAAATTTGATCCAAGTAGCATAACTCATTAGTAATTACTTGGTTGAAATTAAATTTTTTCTTTTTCTTTTATCTAATCTAAACTCGTATATAATTTTTTTACTATTTGGTTTATCTATTTTTTCTCAATTATCACTCTGATAATTTTTTTCTACTTGATTTTTCCATGTGTTTATTTAAATTTGGTAGCAAATTTATTAATATTTTTTATGCAATCTATGGATATTTTTATATTTTGTAAAATCTTTAAACTTATGCTGGTAAAATTGAAATTTAGAGTTTTCTTTTACGTACAACTTTTCATATTAAATGAGGAAAAGAAATCCCCGATTCCCCGATGGGTATCCCCAGTCCCCGTTGGGGGTGAGGATGGGGGTTTATTTATATTCCCCGATGGGGATGGGGATGGGGATAGGGATTCGTATGAGAATTCGGGGATGGGGATGGGGATTGGGGTCCCCTGTATTCCCCGCCCCCGTTGCCATCTCTAGCTCAAAACATACAAAACACATTCACTGAGACCTCTCCAGTGATTCAAGAAATACCAAGCCCGCTCCTTGAGCCCATTCCTATGGATCAGGATTTTCAAAGCCCAATTGTTGAAGAAGAAGTCATACCTTCAGAAGGAGCTCAAGCTTCAGGAAGCTCATTTGAAACACCTGAGCTGGACATCTCCAAAGGCAAAAGCAAGTTGCCTGAATCTAAATTTGTTGATGTCGTTCAGCTTCATACCAGAGTCTTTGATCTGGAACAAAACTCTGCTGAAAAAGATTTGGTAATTGGAAAGCAGGATATTCGAATCAGCAAGCTTGAGAAAGAGAACTCTGATAAAGATTCAAAGATCTCAGAGCTTCAAGCGAAGCTCGTTGGTTTAACTGCTATATTCTTTGATATGAAACAATGCCTATTTTAGAAGTTTGGTGATGAATTTCAACCCTTGAGCGCTGAAGGAGAAAAGATCACTGCTTCTATTTTAGGTCCCGCCAATCCAACTTCACAATCTTCAAGTGAAAGGGCTGCAAGACCTGCTGCAGATGCTAACCTTGATACATTTTTATCTTCTGGTTCTCTTTCTGCTCAAGAAAGAAAAGAGAGAAGCAAATTAGGGTTGAGTAGCTGAAAGGGAAAATGCTATTGATGAAAAATTCAGATCAAAATGTTCAGGGTGATCACCCTGAAATGTTCTTCAGGGAAACTAGGAAGAAGTTCACAGACAAATATGGTGATCGTTCTGGCATCGTCATGTGGGGATACGATGTTGAAAAGAAGATGTGGATCGTGAATCGAAAAAGTGGAAGAATTGAATATCATGATAGGAAAGTCGACTTCATGTCCTGGACAAAAGTTGATCTTTCAGAACTCATATGCGCACCTTTCCACGATCCAACCAATGATACCATGGCATGGTCCTTTAAGAATTTTCTTGAGATTAAAGCGAAAAATAACTTTGAAGACTTAAAGACTGTTTCATCGTTTACTAAGAAGGCCAAGGGTGTCATTGATCCACGCACAAACAAAACAATGGTGAATTTCATGTGGCCACCCATAAAGCAAGCCAAAAGGATTCCTCTTCCCAAGCGCTTACCTGAAGGCACTTTGGATACAATACAATTCTGGGTTTATGATAAGGCTACTGCAACGGTGGTGATCAAGCTGAAGAAAAACCAATTTCGTATTGTTGATCCCAAAGATTTGTTGAAGTTTGGAGAATGTGATATCCACACTTTATCAAACTTTCAGATTATCGTAGAGAATGAACTATTTGAAGATGCCGCGAAAGCTTTCACTGGAATGGTAGCTACAATTATCGACAAGAAGCTGTGGGCAGGGGCATTTGACCAAGCAGATGTACATCTTGTAGAGAAACCTTGAAGAGAACAGAAAGCAATAAACCAAGGGGGAGATTGTTGGGCTATATTTAGTGGTTTATGCTTTGTTTTGAATGTATTATGTTGTTCTCGGTGGGCTTAGTGTGTTCTAGGTGGGTTTATTATGTATGGGCGTTAGGTTATCAGTTTAGTATATATATGATTTGTGTATAGCCGTTCAAAAGAATGCGTTTTTGGTGAAAAATAGTTATTCACGGCTGAAGTGTGATTGAGTGTACTTGACAGTTATTCAATAGAATTGTGTGCATTCACGTTATTGAAACGTGTTCTTGATATATCTAATTGATTGTTTCGTATCATTGTTTGATTAAGATTCCACATTAAATCAAACGATTGCATTGATACTTTGATAGATCCGAATTCAGAGACTTACAGTTGGGACCTTTGGCTTTCCCAACAAGCCATATTGGTTCTTTAAGTCATTTTAGTGTAGCAAAGTTTAGATCTTGAATGTTTAGGAGGTCTTAATGAATAAAAGTTTGAAACTTTATCTATTAATAACTTGTTAAGGACCAAATCTAGAAGTTTAAGCTTCGACTCAACTGATGTGTGTTGTGTGATATGTGTTTGTTGATATGGTACTTTCATATGTTATCTAGGAGTTGAGGACACGAACAACTAAAAGTGTTGTGAGTCTACATACTCATGTATAGGAGTTAATGACAACATCAACTAAAGTGTTGTAAGTCTAGATACTCATATCCCAAGGTTGATGGCAAGACCAACTAGTAAGCCTAGAAACTTGATGCTTGTTTAGGCGGATCAGTCTTAGGTGAGAGCCTTGATTGTATGTTTGTATGTATATTTTTGTATATAGTATTTTGGATTAAAATGTTCCAGGCATATAAGATGATCGTGAAAAGGTGAAGACGTGGTTGTACACATTCATTAGTAGGTTTTGTATTTTGTGATTCCACAATTGTTATCATACTCAGATTTTGGGATGTTGTCTTTGGAACAAATGGTCTCCATGGTTTTGCTTTATGAGAATGACATTTTATCTTAATTAAAATTAAAAAAAATTGCTATGAAAATTTGTGACGTTACGGTTTCATTTAAGGGGGTTATATGATGAGCATTGTCTTAGATGTCAATTAATATGTCAAGTAAACATTAAATATGTCAATTAAGTAACTAGTTACTATAAAGTGATTTGAAAAAAAAACATATACTTGAATGCTATTATATGTACAAAGTCCTTACTTCATTGTTATTTTTTGTAGTGGCCAAACTTAAATGATATTTTTTAACAAATTTGAAACTTAGTTATCTTCCTAAGATTTTTTCCTATTAGGTAATATTAACCCAAGCACTTGGTTACCATAAGATGTAATTTGAACAAAACGTACATTTATATAGTATTTTATATACAAAAGCCTACCTGATATTTTTTAAACTTAATTACCTTAATAAATATTTATTTTAACTATTATTAAAATTTAGTTCTTATACTAATGAATGGGAATATAACTATATCAGGTGTGTGGACGTCGGGTAGTTGGATAAGGATTCCCAACTTCTAAAAGTTGGAGTTATTATGTGCCATTATCATACGTGAAGGCTGCCAAGGAATATTATTATATTTTAAAATTTTGCACGTGATTCTTATCACCACATTTTGTGCATTATTCTTTTCGCTCCACTAGGGATATCCAAAACTCAAAAATACCCCTCTTATTTTATTTGAATTATTTATTAGCCAATAATACAATAAATTAATTTCAAAGTGATTATAAATGGCAATGATATTTTATATTAAAGATTCGTGTTCGAAATCAGGGCCATTATCATAAAACCGTTATTTCATAGCTGGGAAAAATAAAAATTTTCTACTTTGTATAAAGAAATGTTTTATATATTTTATAAGTTGTTGATGTCATGGTTATAAGAAAAACAGTCATATGTTTTCCTCTATTGAGTACCGATCATCTTTTATACCAACGTTGATTATACTTATTTTTATTAAAAAGTAAGAAAAATTTATTAAATTAATATACTTATAGAAAATCAAAAATCAAAGTGTGAAATCAGAAGTCTATAACTTCGTCCACAAGGAAAAAACTTGTGGGAAAAAAGTCCATCAATCAAGGTCAAAATAGTCAATACACCCGTCAAAAGTAGTCCGAACTTGTTTTGTAATTATTCTGAAAAACAGGGGCATATATTTAACAACAGTTTATATATTGCACATCAATCGGAATTGAGTAGCCACAAGTCCACTCTCTCGCTCTGCTACAAACAGCCACCGGACGCTGCCGACAGCTAGTAGTAGCCAACGATTCAAATGGCCGGAGTAATGAGATCAGACGAGATGAAGAACAGAAGTAACTTTCGATCATCTAATTTTCGTCCGATTCCGAAGAGAGGTCAAGTGAAGGTAGCAATTGTGTTGGGATTAGCTCAGTCTCTGGCATCCTTCTTCTCCTTCAACGTCCGCTCTTAGTCGCCGGAAAATCAGATCCACCGATCAATCAAGAGAAAGAGGAAACAGAGATTGGTTTTGGTAGAGTTTGATGAAAGCTTCTGTTTTCGCTCTCTCAATCTTTGTATGTATATAGGCTTTGATCGATGATTTTGTTTGTTCGAATTTGTTGAGTACTTTGGTAAATATATGGTTCATTGATATTGTTATGTTCTCTCAATTTTTTTTTTTTTTTTTTTTTTTTTGCAGTATCATTTAATTTGATAATTTCGACTTAGAAAATGGTTGATTTTACATAATTTAATTAACCAATTGAGCTAAATTGATAATTAAATGTAAAAGTTTAAAAATACCAGTCAAAACGGGCCAAAATGTGAATTAAATTGCATAAAACTTCTAAAAACGTTTGATTGAATAAAATTCTTGGAAATTTTTTGGGTCAAAAGATTTATATGATTTAGCGAGTGTACATTTATATTGTCTCGAGACTCGAGTTAATGTTGTTCATTTTCAATGGCCAACCAATAGCAATATTCCTCTGCTTAATATAGAATTAATATATAAAAAGTAGTGTTATTAAAAATGAGAAACAACTCACGCTTTACAATTGTTATTTCTGAAGTTTACAAAACAAAATCGTAACGAATTATTTTGAATTTTCGATAATTAAAAACTAGACTGACAGTCATTGTTTTGGTTTCGTTTTTTTTCGATATCTAACCTTAGAAATATATTTTTCTGCTATGAAACTTTTAGATTAAGATTTACGATTACACATATTGAATTTATGATCATTTTTCTGAAAGGTTTAGATTGTTATGTACGAATCAACTCCCTTTCTGAAAAGAACCGATCCATAGTATACAAACCGAACCGATCTATATATTATGGGAAAAATATATATATATATATATATATATATATATAATATATATATAATATATATATATATCCTACAATGTATATATGTTTAGGTATCTAAACCTAACATATTTGGTCGTTTTGTATCATATATGTATTACAAAGCTCTTAAATTTCATCCTCTAATTTGATTTACTTTCAAGATTATCGAAATTTCATTATTATCTTCCTCTTATATCATATTTTTCTGTCGAACACCTATATATTATAATTGCAAATGACAATTATGTAAGAGGGAGATAATTGTAAAATTTCTAAAAATATTTGAAGTGAATCAAGTTAGGAGTTGAATTTTAAGAACTTTGGACCATTAAATAAATATATTATACAAAACGACGTAATATTGTGTGTTTGGGTACCAAACTTTATATACTTTGTAGTGTATATTCACTTTTCCCATATATATATATATATGATATATATATATATATATATATAGATATATAATATATATTATATATATATATATAGAGAGAGAGAGAGAGAGAGAGAGCTATGTTTATGTATTCTAACTAAGTATTGTGTGGATGTAGGAATCAATGTAGGCCAATCATTTTAAAAACATATATAATGGTAAAATCGTAATCTTATACATTATTTAATTTTGGTATTTAAATAAATATTTAATTACTCCCTAAAATATTATTACTTTCCCTTAAATTCCAACCTGCTTCTCTAATTCTCTTTATCACCATCGCTGATACCTAAAAGATCAATAAGGTTGCCACCAACTTCGGCACCTATTCATCACCATCGATTACAAGCCCTAACATCGATTACAAGCCCTAACCATTGATACAAAGCTGCCACCATCCTCCACCAATCGTTGATTTGTCGGAGCCATTTGTGTCCTCCCCATCGCAGCAAGGCAGTGGCGCAAATACCCAC